CAGCAAAAAAAAAACACTCTTACCGAAGCCAGAGGCATACTTGTAAGCCCGACTGGACAGAACTTCCCCTGCGAAGTCATGGAAAACGTACAGCCAGAGCACGCATGTGCTGTTCGATCGCTTTGGCTTTGCATGCCCTCCACCGAAACCTCGCGTCGAACGACAGGCTGTTCGATCGCTTTGGCTTTGCATGCCCTCCACCGAAACCTCGCGTCGAACGACAGACTCCGTCAACTGGGCAGAAAAGTTTCGCTTTACTTCTTTTCTGAAAGAAGACCCCGACTAAATGAAGCTGTCGCATCACAGGCCAGCCCTACGGTTCTGCACACTTCCGACTTACGCTTCGAAACAGGTAGCAGGTAGCGCAGCCCGCCCTTGCTTTCCGTCTTGCCAGGCCCCCCACCCCAGCCCTCCCTCTTTCAAACCCCCTTAAATGGTGAGAGCAATAAGGAGGAGGGACGGCGGGGCTTGCAACTCGAACAATGGTTATTTTTGTGCACCGTCAAACAACATTAAGACCCATCGTGCGGGGTCCATCCATACTGCTATACTATGTACCTGAAACAGCCATCTTCAACGATATCCACAACGCTCAAATTCCAAGGACAACTAAGTCATAACCCTTGTAACTTATAACTGCACTTCGGTTAATCTTATCGAGTGGCATGAACTGGCAAATGGCCTGTGTGAAGAGTTCTGGCTTCGAAAGCTGTTGGGTGGCCTCCTGTCCATGCATGAGGTGAAGCCGAATGATGCTGACAGCACAGCCATGACTTGTGGAGTGCGGCATCAGTGCGCTGTCTTTCACAGATTCACTGTTTCCTGATGCTTGAGTCCATTTTCATCACGAGGCTTGCTCACCCGTGTTGGAGACCATTCAACCAGAGTTCTTGGTAAGGGCATGTGGCATCCGATTTCATTCAGGGGACAACACTGAATCATGGTGTCTGGCGAGGGCCACGCCTTCTAAATCGCTCGTATGCACTATTTGTTGTCTACGCCAGGCAGCCTTAAAATATCCGGTTCTGAGCACGTCCGCGTAGCTGAGCAGCAATGCTTAACAGCATCCGGGTGCAAGTGTATCCAATCAGCAAAGCGTCCAAGATCACTAGCCTCGGCGACCTTGTTGATGTCTCTTGCTGAGTCCTCTGATGTTGTTGCTACTTCCCCTTTTTCAGAAAATCCCATGGGAGGCATGAGTAAACAAGCCCAACATGTAGCACGACCCGTGTCCACACGAAGCGCTTTATAATGTGAACAGCTCCTTAGCATCCCCTACTGAGTCGAATCAAGAAGCCGAGCTCCTGGAAGCTTCAAGCCTTCAAGTTTCACCCAGGACGTACTGCCACTACCCCTACCCAGTGCTGAAGAATCGCCCGACGGTGACCAGGGAGGGTTTCACCTTCAGCCTCTGGGAGAACTGAGGCTGAATTGCGGGCTTTCTGTTTTGAGGGGGGCGGCGGGACGATGAGTCGAATCGGCTTGAGTTTCAGATGTTAATCATTGACCGTACCGATGGGCGTGGCTTACTTTTGATAGAGATTTTCGATGGCATGGGGTCTGTGTTGATTCGAAAGTTTCATGGGAGCAACGAAGGTTTGCATGCGCTGCTTGGCATCGGTACACAGGCATGGCAATTGAATTTCCGTACGACTAATGGCATGATCAGAAGAATAGGAGCAGTCGAAACTGACAGAGCTCTGTTAGCGAGAGATAGGGCAAGAGAGACAGTACAAGCTATAGATGTAGCGAGAGGGCGAGAATCAAACGCTCACCCCGTACGATTCCGTAAGCATGCAGCTACAAGCGCACCAGCAAGCAATGCAGTACCATGGCAAAGTATCCGTAGCGCCTCATGTAGTTCATGCTTGTGCTTGCCGAGGATCTGCAATTTCGACCCTGATGCACCATCGAGGGAGCTCCCCGGCAAGACACTGCTAGTTGTCAGAGTCTGACTTGGACCTAATTGTGAATGCGAGCTCCGCGTGTTCATCTTGCGAGCATCCCGTGCGGTCAGCATTATGTGTGACCTCCATGTGCAACACCTCGCGCCCTCCATCTTGTCTTATGCCCTCAGATACCCCTTCCTTAGAACTTCCTTCTTGCCCTTCTACGCACGCCGGGCCGCACACCTTTCGAAGGGTTGGTTGCCACTGGTAAACACTGGACGGAAAGGCAGAAAGCATCAAGCCACTAACCCTGCTGCCGGGCCAGCTACGCCTAAGTATGAAATGCAGCGCCCGGGCAGCTCGAGATCTAAGCTCGCTTTCTCGCGCGACCGAACGTTCGAGGACCTCAGGCACATGTCTTCACTTTCAGTGTATCGTTTCAATGTGTAGAGTTTAGCTGTTTCGTCCTCTGGTTCCGGTAAGTTCTGGTCTAGGGTGTCGGCAAGGGTCGAGAACACGCAGAGGACATTGACATAAATCTTATATCAGTCTTATATATTTTTCTTCATGGGTCTCACAGACCGGAGTTTTGGAGGGTCCAAAGGGTGGAACGTGAGCCCACCTAAGGATCATGCGGGACATGCGCATCCCCTGCTTCTCCTGCCTGTGCCTTGCAGGAAAAGCTAAGGATCTGGCATTTATGAACCTGAGACCTTAGAAAGCAGCAGAAGTTTGCGCGGCGTATCTTGAAACAGTGATGGTGCCTCTGTTGTGCTTAAGCTTCAGCTGCATGCCTGTGACTTAGTGACTTAAAAATGCCTGTGAATTCGGAGATCCGCAGATCCTTCGGGCATAGACAACTGTTTCGTCATCAATGTCATCACGAGGCAAGGGTTTCACCATTGTCCCCAGCAACACAACAAACGGGAAAGCACAAGTTCATCGCCTCCGTTACCTGGCAACACCCTGGCCCCTTCTGTTGCATCGTCAACTTTCCTAAGCCCGGGCTCCCTCAGACGTATCCCTGGGTGCCAGTGCATGGTCTCGAAAAGGTGTTCCCCAGTCCGCTGGGCCGATACTGCCAGTTCGGCGAAGATCAACTGCATGCCCTTTTGGACAGGCCCGGCGAAGCAGAAGCAGAAAAAGACGAGCAGACGAATCTGGATCACGAGTGATGTCCGTGTGACAGTGGTATGAATGTCTGGTTTCTTCCGGCGTAATGCCACTGACTTGACATTTATTAAGTAAATTCGAAGCATCAGAAACCTTGAAAGTCTCGCAACGGCTCGGTAGGCCGAAACCTGAGAACTAGAAACAGCAGAAGCACAAGTTCTGCTTGGGAAGTCGCTGCTGCTGGTGTCACTAAGAGGCAGATGCCAGGGCTTTTTCTATCACAACCTTTCTGGCGAGTCGTGTTTGGATCGTTGTGACCCAGTGCTCGGGCCTAGGTAAGGATGCTATAGGATGGCGTGTTTGAACATGAGGAGTGGAGATTGCGATCCTGAAGTGCTGCTGCGGAGGGTCTGTTCGATTTACAGATAGGAACTCATGGTAGTTCATGTAGATATTGGTATGAGAAGTTCGTCCTCTGTCACTTCTTGTGGATGCAGAAGTGTGAGTTTCGGGTATTGGATCTTAGTGTTGCCGCGCAGCGGAATTATATTGCCCAGGCATGGACAAAGCCCTCACAGGTCCAGGATTTCCGGTGCAACCGATTCGGGAGGTAAGCGACCGATCGTAAAAAGCTCTGAGGTGCCGGGGTCGTGTGGGCATAGGTATAGACGGTGACTTGCGTTTTAATTCTGTTGCTGATGTTGGAGATGATGTTGCTGCTGCTGCGGCTGCTCGCGCTGCGACAAGCCTCAGCACATGTAGCAAGACTGACTACGCCCAACCACGAGATGGTCATGCCCATGGTTGACAAATTGACCCTTTCAGTGGTAGCAATGCATGAAAGGGAGTGACAACACACAGACTTCAACACCACCGAGAATCATCTCAAAGGTCAATGTGTTCGTAACGTTCCCTTCTAGACCTTCGAAGTTGCAATGGCAGCACCCATGTTAACAAGCGTGTTCTTACACGCGCGTTGCGCGTTGTCATGTCTAGTCAAGTCTTCTCCGTCTTGTAGAGCGCCTATTCTTCAGCAGTTTTGCAACCCCATGTAGGGATTGCGAGCCGCCAGACCCCGGACTTCTTAGGTAGGTCTGCTTAAGAAGTTATCTTCTCTCTTTTTCGCCTCGTCGCTGGATCCAATATCCCAATCAGGCGTTGGCCACCTCGAAATCCCTTTAAGTTTTGAGTATGTGTTGCTTGGACTTGTGCGGCTTGGACTCGAGATGTCTTCAGCACTTCCTCACCTGTCACTCTGAACAGGTGTCATCCTTGTGACCTTTCTGAATGCGCTTACAGCCGCCACCTGGCTGTCTAAGTGCCTCAGGACGAGTCCTGCCCTCGTTTTGGCTGCAGTTGGGGTAACGGATTGAAAAAATGGACGTTGCCCGCACCGCCGGACCATTGGGCAATAGGGTCAGGGGCTGAGGTCAGGTCGGCGTTTCTTCTTCCGGGTGTGCGGATCTCGGGTCATGACCTATGCTGGAGCCTTTCCGATTGCCAAATGGAAACGTTCATCGCTCGGTCGAGCAGATCCACGCATGTCCCCATGGGCCACTGCTCCATACACATACCAGGCATCATTCTACATCACTGCTCTGATCTACATGTTCATGGCCGCGAACCATCGTCAGCTCATCCGACGGCTCTACGGCATGCCGAATGGCATCTGGGCAGGCAATGGCTGCACAGGCTCGTGAAGCCGGGTCGGACGGTAAGGTTCTACTTTTGGACCTACAAACCGTGCAAACATGTTATGTGCATTTGAGGCACTTGGAGGACCTACACCGAGGACCGGCACGTGTCTGGCGCACTGTCCGCCAATTCCTAGAAACACATTCACGGTTATTTGCGTTAACAGCCTTTCTTTACTACACATGTAAATATGCCTGCATGCATGTAGGTTGGCACACATAATGATTCTGCACCAGGCCCGGGCCGAGGACTGTCTGGCCAGGGTTTTCATGCACATGCACTACTTCCGAAGGTGTTGTGGAGACCGCTTGCATTATCTTGCATCCATTCGAAGCTGTCTGCCAACATCAGCCATCCGTTTTTGACAGGATCATGTCGAGTGCGGCGTGGCCTTAATTTGCTTTGGCCTGTTGACCTTACCTCATCTGTCCTGCTCTTCCATCATGCTGCTACCTTATCTTGCCCCATCGTGTCTTGCCTCATTGCATTTTGCATGTCTTCCCCTCCCAATCTGCATCTGTATCCTACTGCATCAACCGTACAGAATAGGGACCGTCCAGAAGTGGAGTGCGCCGGCAGAAATAGTCGAACTGAGAAGTTATTCGGCTCATGCGACATATCTGCTGACGGCTGACCCAATAGCCGGTTCCAACATGGGTGCTTCTGTTTCTGTTTCGAAAGGATTGCTGCACTTGGATGTGGTGTTCCTGCTGCGCCACCATGCAAGAGGCAATGGAGTGACCTGGCTTCAGTGTCCCTTTTCTGTTACATCGTGTGTCGTAGGCTTAGTAACTTAGTGCGTTCAATGTTTGTCACTGTTTCTCCGGTGCTTCGGTAGAGCAGATTTTCGGTTTAGAGTGTGCGAAGGTTTTCAGGAGGAGGGATCTCAGTTGCTGTGACTGGCAGCAGCGAGCAAAGCTGGAAGCATGCACCTAGTCAGGGTTTCAGGTCAGTCAAGACATGCCACGCCGAGGATTCAGTATGTGGACCCGGTGAACAAGCCGTGGCAGCATCTTGCATTCCCTTGAGCTGGGCTTTCATGGGCTCGTTCGTCGTTTTCTGTATTGAGCTGAGCGGTCGCCAAAGGCCCATGACGCTTGTGCTATGCCAAGCCTTCCGGAAAATCATGCTCCCCTGCCGGCTCCAGCGGTACAATTACAAGGCTAAAGGCTCAAGCTGTCAAATCCGGCGCGCAAGCACAAACACGGCACGGAGCACGCGAGACCTTTTGATCGAGTGCACCGGCCACAAGACTCATTCAATCTGAAGCCAAACACGACGTAATGTGCAACGAGGGATGGTTCAAAACAAAAAAGAGTCTTGTAGAGTCTCGCGAATGCGGCGGAGCAACTGGGGCCTCTCGCTCAAGCACTAGACCCAGCCCACAGAACACACGAAGCCACCGAACAAGCATCTATAGGCCGGCAGTTGTCTCGAACCTGTCGGTTGCTGCCTAACTCGTGCGCACCGAGCTTGCTGAAAACACTGACCTTGCTGCCGCATACGGCGTAGGGATACATCATGTTCCATCTGTTATCACGCAACGATTTCTCAAAGCATGTTCGACAAGATCTGAATTCAGACATAACATGTCGACCTGAAAGGGCACTTCCACTTCTGCGGGAGTTAAGACACGCTAGAGGAAAACAGTACGACGCAGTAGATAAAGTAATTGCACCATCATTTGCTGTCGGGTCGACATGCCACGGTACACACGGGAACAGCATGCAGAATCATAAGGATGATCGTGGTATAACCTAACCGATCAGGCAAAGCATGGTCGATTCGGTGGTACCCGCGGCTTTCCAGACAGAGAAGGAGCCAGAGGTGCAGTGCGAGGGTGTAATCATGGGCTTCGAAGTTTGGATTTGGGGTTTGTTTCGCGGGTGCAGGGCTTCAAGGCTTGTTTAGTATTCGAGGTGCCGGGGATGATGTTGTAAAGCCATGCAGGTTCTGCATGGGGATCACTGCCCACGATTCACGATTGCTGTCTCCCGAGGCTGGAGGACTAGATGAGCCCAGAAGGTCCGGCTCGCGTCCTGATGGCCACTGAACAAACTGAAACTCAACCCGGGGCTGCAATCGACAAAGGGATTCTGAATCCCAAGTCATGCCTCCCATGCTCCAGACCCGGTGCAGGGTGGAAGCGTGGAGCGCCGCCAGAACACGACCTGCTGCTGAGCGGTGTTCCATCGGATCGTGCCGATGTGACCACCCGCCTTGGCCTTGCAATTCTGTATCGAAGGCATTCTCTAGGACTCCAAGCCCTCTGAAAGAGACAGGCACAGAGAAGTTTGCACCGCATCTAGGACTGTACAGCAAGGCTTGGACTGTACAGCCGAAGATTCAGCCCGGGCAAAGACTTCGAAGCGCAAAACAAAGCCTTGGCTTCGACGCAAAGCTTTCTCTGCGGCTGTCCTGCAGCCTGAAGTCTTAAAGGCCCCTGAGCCTTCTCAATCACAGGGCTTCGGGCCTTTCTATAGCTGGCAGAGCCGGGCACGTAACTTTCAGGGCCTCTCGGAAGTAAGCTATGAGGCTTCCCTTTGCAACCCCTATCCTTGAGCCTTAAGTCTTGCAAGTTCCTGTCTTGAAACGAAAGTCACAATTCCGGAAGCCTTCTCTGAGTATCTTCGCTCCGAAGACGTCGAACCCCCGAAACCAGAACGCTTTCGAGATGCTTCGTGCCATCGCAGGACGCCGCAGCAGGGACAGAATCGAGTTCGCGCTCTCACCGAAGCACCGCGGACCGCTTTCTCTGGTCTGGTTTAAGTCCCAGATCAGAGCCCATGCCACTCAAGTCAGAGCGACCATTCCGAAGACTATGGCATTAAGTTTCTACTATGACTTAATAACGAGGGCTTCAAGTTTTTGGGTCAGAATACGAGGGAGTGAGATAATCGTGGATTTGTTGGCTCTCTGACAAAATTCCTTACATGAACGAACCCCTGGATGTTCTCTCTAAGCAAAACCCGGTGGGCCCTGGTGCAGAGGCGGCCCTGACCGAGAAGAAGAGAGAGAGGCAAAACGGCGAGTGTCCCTTCCTGAACGGTGAGCGGGCCGGGTGCACGAATGCGCGGGACCAGCGAGAGCTGGACCTGCACTGGCCTGCAGCAGACGAGGCTGTCGCAGTGAGAAAGAGGAAAGCCGGACAGAGCGAAAGAGAGCGGGTGGTGCACGAGGGGTGTTTCCCGTTTCAGCATGCGAACTGTACCCGTGAATCTGCCGCTGCAGCCCTTCCGATTCCGAAACGCTTCCCCAGAACATGTGGGGGGGGGGGGGCGGCTGCATGGAGGGCGGGGGTGGAGGACCTCTTGCCCCTTGCGAAAGAAAAAGAGAGCGGGCGGGTTTCCGTGACAAGGCTTTGAAGCGCTAGAGGAACAAAAGGAGCAAGTATCGAGCGAAAGAGAAGAGAGAGAGAGAGAGAGAGAGAGAGAGAGAGCAAGAGACGAGAACACACAAAAGACCTTTAGGGATTGTCCGGGAGCCTTCTGGTGTTGGCACAGATGAAACTTCCATTGCCCAGTGTTTCACCCAGCCCTCCAGGCAAGAAGCAACCTGCAAGAGATGTAGGACAACTTGTCGTCACGACAAGAGAGCCCAGCCTTCCCTTAAAAGCCTGAAAGTGGAGAAACACGGATACCGTTTATTAAAAGGGTTTAGGGTTTACTTGCATTTAGTCTTCGAGTGAGGTCTTGTCAACTGTAATTTTAGCGTCGGCTGCATTACTTTCTACATCCTCTTTCCCACATGGCAGGGCTGTAATGAACCATGGCTGGCTTCCCGTGGGTGCTGCTTCTCTGCGTGTGTCATCGTGTCCTCGTTCATATGCTACCGGTCTTCCCATCTCCGCCGACATCGCCAGCTCATCTTTAGCACTAACCAAAAGCTCGTAGCTACCTCAAGTATTCAAAAGCCTGGAAGGCGCTGCCGACAATCCTGCTAAACGAGGCAGACAGCGTGGGCTGTGCTTGCAGCCCTTGAAGGGAAAGCGGAGTGTGGTCGCTGAATGCTTGGTGTTCAGGTTCAGGACTTGGGGGCCGACTGCAGGTCTAGTTTAGGGTTTAGGGTTTGGGGTTTAGGGGTTAGGGTTTCGGGTGGTCTGCGTAGAATACAAGGAGCCCTTCTCATGCATATCATGGGGGTACAACCCGTCGTCCAAGCCGCTTGGATATGCCACGGCAGCTTGGCCGGCAACTTCTCACCAAAGAAGCAAGCCAAGCCAATACAGGGGCCTTACAATACTTATCTATTCTGTTTGGGGGGATAATTCCTTGCTATAATAATTGATTATAGTATACAACGCGCTATTCTACTTGTTAATTGAGAAGGCCCTTATGTAAGGCCGAAGGGCCGCAGAGTCAAGTTTCGAAGTTCCCCAGGCCGAAGGACCGAGTGAAGCCGCAGGCGGGGTGCCCTTGTCTTGTGGACGAGCTCGGGCTGGGCAGTCAAGGGTTTAGGGTTTTAGGGTTTAGGGCTTTAGGGTTTTAGGGTTTAGGGTTTGCGGGCACCCCTTCCGGGGTGAGGGCTTTGTGAGGCACAGGCTTACACAGCGTTCAAAGTCGTGGTGCCACATGATTTGTGAAAATTAGCTTGGTGCAGAATAATCCACAGAATGGGGTCCAGGGATGCCTACGGCCTAGAGTCCGCGAGTTTCGGGCACTGGGTTCCATTGAGGTTTTCATCCAGATCCGGAGATATCCGGAGCCTGGTCGGGCTGAAAATCCTCCGTGCGAGCTCTATCAGTTTTTTTCACCCTCCCAATCGAGACTTCGTCTCGAGATGCTGCTGCAGCAGTTGCTTCGGTTTCTAACTGTTGCGTTCAGACTTTGAGTTTGGCATTCGGTGGTTGCAAACCCGAGAAGATCCAAGGGAACCCCGAAGCAAAACAAGCCCGAGCATCATGAACACAGTTTTCCGTACAGCTCAGAACCACTTCACTAGACTCCAGACACACCAGGCACCCTACATAGCACAGAAAAGCGAGATTGTGTGTGCACCTGTGCACATGTGCAGGCACAAAGACAGGGTAAGCCGGGTAAGCATCAAGCTCCTGAACGAACAGCCTGTGTCCTATCACATTGTACACCCTGCGTGGCTCAGCCGGTAAATCTCAGCCATCCGTCGGAACGCGGCAGGCGCACCTCCTGTGCCAGGTGCACCTGCACCTGCACTGAAGCCTGGCAAGCTAGCGCGGTCCGCGTGCTTCGTTTCAGTTGTTTGAACTTCGGAACTATGCAAGAGCTGGAGTAGGGATGATGAAGCCCAAGTCCTGTCCTCGAGTGGCTTTGACGCGCAAAACTCTCCCTGACACTGCCTCTACTCGACTCGAGCTCTAGCCAATATAGTAGGGCCTGGAGAGGAGCCCTGCTTCTGCACACACTCAATGAAGGAGCTGTTTTGTACTTCTTGTGCTGGTGGGCAGGATAAGGGACGGGGGTTAGCTGGCCTGAACGATTGAAATCTCGTCCCAGACCGTCAAACTCAAACCGAAGCCTGACCCCAAGTGGGAAATGCCAATATTATTCGAACCTTGCTCAAGTCAGAGCCACTACCAAGCGGACTTCCCAACTAATGACAAGCCAAGGACCCACAGTCTGAGCCTCCCGCGACTTGGCTCTGCAAAGGCTGGAGACGAAGGGCATGTTGGGGCGCACGCTCTCTTTTTTTTTTTGGAGTTCGAGCTCTTCAGGATTTCGTTTTAGCATCGGCTTCTGTTTGCTCACATGTCATCCCCTGCAGAGTAGTACTGAGAGCATGAGAGTCTAGGAAGCCGGCATAACACCGGCATAGGACGAGTGGCGTACATCCTCAAGAAGGTGTAGAGTTTCATGCGCATAAAGAAACTTCTGTGATTCAGGTGTGAGGTATGGGGCCCGCTTCGTAGCAGCCCGGTGCTGAAATCCGGTCATATTTTTTGAGGTACCGAAGATACTCATGCGTTGGACATGGCAAGCTGGCAAAGAGAAGCATTGTATGCACGACATCAATCGAAGCCAACAACTGGCCAGTCCGATCGGCCATCCTCGAGTCCACGTGGAGCTCGTCCTGCGATGTGGCTCGTCACATTTGATGTCCAAGTAATGTTTGATTAGCATCATTTCCTCTTCTTTGGACGCCTAGTATGGGAGACAACAAAGACTGGCATGAGGTGGTCGCAGTGTGCTTGTTCTGCAATCGTCATCTTGCTTGGGCCCATCGTCCTGGTCGTCCGTGTCGAGGTCGCAGCAGAACAGAGGCAGCACTAGCGTTTCGAATGGCAGCAGCTGCAACAGGAAGCAGAAGACGAAGAAGCATAAGAAGATCTGAGTCCTAAGCTTGTTTCTACCGGGTCCAATCCAACAGCCATCTCAGCTTCTGGGCCGCTAAACTTATGTGCAGTGCTTGGAGCATTACCCGGATGTTGCGCTTGTAGACAGACGAGGGACGATGGAGATGGAGAGAGGGAGGGAGATCTTATGCCCGGGGCGGGGGGGGGGCGGGGGCAGCTCTGTGACGACCTCATCACACGTAGGGTTTTAGAAGGTCAATTCACGAGTTACTTGCAACCTGACATGTGCCAGCACATCGATGAACCAGAAGCGGCTTGCAGCGTCGTTGTGATATACGTCACGGGATTGTTACAGCTTCAAGGCTACTCAACCTCACTTCCAATGTTGTGCTCTTCGATGTCTTCGCTACTTCTGACGAACCCAGCAAAAGCCCGCAACTGGCCTCCAAACACAAAGGCCAAAACCGTCAGATCTTTCAGGCTTCAAATCCTGCCTCCTGAATCTTCAAGAATGCACCCTTCCATAAACCCTCCAGCCGCAGAGCCCTTAGCTTAACACCCGAAGACCTTCAGCATTCAAGGGGCCATAGCTTGAGCCTGACGACAACTCGGTCGACCTCCTCCCTCCGGGCCTCCTCCGCACCTTGACTTCATGCGAGAGCTGCGATGATAGAGCCCGTCACCGAAGGGTGCTGCAGAGTGCGGTTGGACTAGCCTCAACCATCACTCTTTGCCTTGGCCAGTGTCGCAGGATGGCTGAGTGTATTCTTCCAGTAATCCTAAGTAAGCAGAGCTCGAGTTCCTGGAGGGCCGGGTCCACCCAAAGCTGTTGTGGTCGATATGTCCCAGACTCCGCAGCCTGCAATGCAAACCAAACGCCAAACTCCGCAAGCCTTACCGTTTGTTTGAAAAC